TTCTATGATTCTATGACCTGGCTGGCATGTGCTCTTTGACTCCTTCCAGACACACTGGACTCATTACTGGTCATCCTCCTCACTTCAGGAGAGGCCAGGACCGCTCTTAACCACTACATTCTTAGCAACGTTCCTGCAAAGCAATGCTGAACACAAGGTTAGTTGTCCCATTCATCTACTAAATGTCCTCAAGATCAGAGAATCATGTAATGGTTTAGGTTGGAAGGGACCTTAAAGATGACCCAGTTCCAACCCCTCTGCCATGGGCAGTGACACCTTCCACTAGACCAGGTTGCTCCTTGCCTCATCCAGCCCGGCCTTGAAGACGCACAAGACCTAGATGCCTTTTCCTTGCACCTCTCCAGTTACCAAAACTGGCACAGCTGAAGAGCTATCAGCAAATTCTAATACACGGATTCTGCCACCCAGCTCACCCCAACTGTCCTTCCACAGTAACCAGTGCAAATACACTTCTGTCTGCAGAGGGTGAAGGAATTCTGCCTGTTGTATCTCTGTGCTCCTTCCCCAGGTTCCTTCATCCACTCTGTGCCCAGGCATGAGGTGCCGGGGGAGCTGGAAGTCTCCTATTCTCAGGTTCAACCACAGGACGCAGGAGTTTACTCTGCCAGATACATAGGAGGAAACCTCTTCACTTCAGCTTACACAAGGCTTATTGTAAGACGTAAGTACCATTAATGTGTGCTGATGATTAATTGTTTAAAGTCATTATGAATCTGAAATGAAACTTATACTGTGCCCAAATAAGGACCAAAATCTTTCCTGGCATAAGCTGCCATCAGATTATGTCAGAAGAAATTTTTTCCCGAGGATCTTTGGTACAAGCTGGTACTGATTTAACCAGCTGAGAGAGAAAAAAATTCAGATTTAGGTTCAATTCATCTTAGCTACTGCCAGGACAGCTAGATCTCTTCTCAGCATCTCAGCTTTTCAAACACCAGGTGAGTATGAACGAAAAAGGTGGCACTGGGTCTCCCACGAACGTGAGATATGGGTCTGAGCACAGCACAGGCATCCTCAAATGCCTCTGTTCTCTCTGGTGGGCTATATCCAAACCCCATATCTCCTAATGTTTCTCATCTTTGGCATACATTATTGTAATTCCACAAACAACTGCAGCCTTCATTAGCTCGGACAGTTCATCTCCCAGTGGATGACAAGATCAGATCACAAAGCAAGCGGACATTTTACAATAAGTATTCTACATGCTCCTATGTCCATTTTCATCAGATAGAAAGAAAAATATATACCATTAATGTGGATAGAAATATAAAACTGATATATAAAAATAAATAGCTGTTCAAATATCTTACATTATGGAGAAAATATTTCTGGTGGTAAAATGTATTTCACTTGCTAACATCCACAGGGTACTTGCAGGAGTCACAAATGAATCAATATATTGCCCCATACTTTTATTTTGAGGCTACTGCCACCTTACTAAATAAAATGATTCTCTAGTGCCAAGCTGCACAGCAGAAGACTTATCCATAAATTCTGTCCCCTGCTTTGAAATATAGCACCTTCCAGTGCCTGAAGGGGCTACAAGGAAGCTGGGGGGGACTTTTTACAAGGGCCTGTAGTGACAGGACAAGGGGTAACGGGTTTAAATTGAAAGTGGGGTGGTTTAGATTGGATATCAGGAAGAAATTCTTCCCGGAGAGGGTGGTGAGGCACTGTGACAGGTTGCCCAGAGAAGCTGTGGATGCCCCATCCCTGGGAGTGTCCAAGGCCAGGCTGGATGAGGCTTGGAGCAACCTGGTCTAGTGGAAGGTGTCCCTGCCCATGGCAGGGGGGTTGGAACTAGATGGTCTTTAAGGTTCCTTCCAACCCAAACCATTCTGGGATTCTGTGGTTCTATCATGTCCAGTTTTCATCTACCAGTACCCCCAAGTCCTTTTCCTCAGAGCTGCTCTCTATCCACTCTCCACCCAGCCTGTACTTGTGTTTGGGATTGCCCCAACCCAGGTGCAGGACCTTGCACTTGGCCTTGTTGAACTCCATGAGGTTGGCACAGTCCCACCTCTCCAGCCTGTCAAGGTCCCTCTGGATGGCATCCCTTCCCTCCAGCGTGTCACCACACCACACAGCTTGGTGTCGTTGGCAAACTTGCTGAGGGGGCACTCAATGCCGTCATCCATGTCACCGACAAAGATGTTAAACAGCACAGGTCCCAACACCGACCCCTGAGGAACGCCACTCGTCACCGATCTCCACTCGGACACTGAGCCGTTGACCACCACTCTCTGAGTGCAATTCTGTGATGAAACAGCCTTTTGTCTTGCCCATCCTGCCTACTGGGAAAATTCTTGGGTCATAGTCTGGGAGGTTGGCAGGGAGCACACAAACAATGAAGGGACTGGATAATTACTTGGCACTGCTCAAACACATGTCCTGTTTTAATTGAAATTAGTATTATAGACACAGATGGGTCATTTTTAGTGAAACTTCTAGGTATTGATATGTAAGAATTTCCTTCCAGGAGAGGGAGAAGACAGAGCTCCAAGTGCTATGTTGATAAATGAAATGTTTGCTGAAACCTGAAAAAGTTGATCCACGTCTGGATCACTCAGTTTTAGTGAGCATGCCTCTGGACTTCCCAGTTTATTACCTTCTCAGTTCTAGCTTTACACTAGAGGAAGGCATGAAGGTCAGTTGTTGTGACATAATAAACATTGTTCCAAATTAAATACTGAAAATTATTGAGTCTTCTCATCTCCCACTGGTTTCAAAAGCAGCTCAAAGAATTTTGCTTCCTATAGGGATATATTAAGGATTTGCATGATGAAATCACATATAATTCTTTAGGACTTGAGCTCCGTTTCTGTTACACCAGAATCAAAACTCTCACTGGCAGGACTAACAGTAGTAGTATCTTCTTAAACTTTGAAGTGGGAAAGAATATCATGACAGGCATTAAAATAACTGATGGCTCTTACTCCATTTATTCCACAAACAGGTCACCAGCTGACTGATCCTTCTTACAAAGACCCAGTGAAGACAGTACAGATGCAACAGATGTGAACCCAGGCTAATGAACTTTCAATAAAAATACTGTTAGAGGAAAAAAAAATCATGACTTGCCACATGTGGGTACAATGTCAGTCATGTCAAGCTTGGTCTTCCCAGCTCAACACCAGTACTGCCAGCTCCAGGTGCACCCTGGACCTTTTGTAGGTCTTGGACCCCTGCTAAAATAGAAATCTTAAATATAACATCTTTGTCAATTTCCAAACTTACTCTTACAAACTAAAAACCAAAAAAAAATCTATTTCTAGCTTCAAGAAATGAAGATATTTCAGTTCCTTCCTGGTGTAACATAGTATTACTGCCTACTGTGCAGCAGTTCTGATCCCGAAATAGAGGCACTTCCACAATGAAAAACGTGATTCCTCATGTTGGGTCAGTTGGCTGGGATTTTGAGGGGTTCATAGGCATCATATTTTTATACAGTTTACTGTTTGTCTTAAAAAAAAAAAAAAAATTACTACTTGCTTGGTTACTGAATAAGAAAAAAGATAACAAATATGTCATTATATTTTTCCATAAAAGGATGTGAAGCTCAGAAATGGGGCCCTTCCTGCAGTTTCCACTGCCCTTCCTGCACGAACAATGGCATTTGTCATGAAGATACCGGGGAATGCATCTGCCCTCCAGGTTTTATGGGAAAAACATGTGAGAAAGGTAAGCAAATATTATTTTCACAGGTTGCTTATTAATTTGTTCTAAGTAGCAGGAGTCGGCGATTACTGAGGGAAGAATCGGATGGCATAGCCTTGTTTTACAGCTTATAGCCATAACGTTTACAGCTGGTGCTGGAGACAGGAGCGTGTGGGGTGAGAAGAACCCTGAATTACCAAGACTTCTCAGTAGGGTAACCCCAGAGCTCAGCTGTTGCAGTAGCTGACGTCTGATCCGCTCTAATGCAGCACTGACCTTATGGGAGAAGCAACACCTTGAGCCTGGCAGTGTCTTATGCACTGAATTCTAAGAAGAATATTTGGTTCCCGTGGCACTGTTTGTCCATTTTATAGTAAAAAGGCTTATAAAGAGGATTTATTGCTGAAGATCTGCCCCCACATATCCAAAGCAATTGACGCTTTGCGGATGGATCCTCACCTTTGTTTACGCTGCCTGAACTTAATCGTTCTTGCAGCCATGCCTTAAGTTGTTACGGATGTCAATATACCTGGTGTCTGAATGTAAAAATGTCATTTTTTAATTTTAATTCATGTTATCTTGTTGTCTAAAGCTGCATCCCTAGAAGCATTAGCTCTTTTGCGGACTTAATGCTGTTGGGCTGTTCTTTCTCCTTCTCCCTTCAATAGCTTGTGGAGCCAATACGTTTGGCAAAACGTGTGAGGAGACCTGTAAAGAAAGCTATGGCTGCAGGAACTACATGTTCTGCCTTCCAGATCCGTATGGTTGTTCTTGTGCCACAGGATGGATGGGACTGGAATGTGATAAAGGTATAGTAAAAAATATGAGGAATAGTGGAGTCCTTAGCGTGATCCACATAGGAAATACAGAAGGGAATTAACAGAGAAGAGTAAAATATAGTCCTTACAGCACCTTCCAGTACCTGAAGGGGCTACAAGGAAGCTGGGGGGGACTTTTTACAAGGGCCTGTAGTGACAGGACAAGGGGTAACGGGTACAAATTGAAAGTGGGGAGGTTTAGATTGGGCGCCAGGAAGAAATTCTTCATGGAGAGGGTGGTGAGGCACTGGCACAAGTTGCCCAGAGAAGCTGTGGATGCCCCCTTCCTCCTTGGAAGTGACCAAGGCCAGGCTGGATGAGGCTTGGAGCAACCTGGTCTAGTGGAAGGTGTCCCTGCCCATGGCAGGGGGGCTGGAATTGGATGATCTTTAAGGTCCCTCCCAACCCAAACTGTTCCATGATTCTGTGATTCTGTGATACCACAGTGCAAGTGAAACCATGCTGGAGATTGTTGAAGCTCCCACGCTGGCACCTAGGCTACAAATGACAGGCATGGACTCAAACGTGCTCTACTTTTTTGACATGAGTGTGTTCTCAGGATGCTCTGTGGGTCATTTAGTGCTAATACATACAGTTTTAAACTCAACCCAACTGCGGGAAGTAAACCCTGCTAGAGAATCGATGCATAAGATTGAAAACTAATGGAAGATGTTTTCTAGTAGCTTTACACTAACTGGAAATATATGTATTTGCAGAATGCAAACCTGGTTTTTATGGGTCGGATTGCAAACTGAAATGTAATTGTCACAATCGAGGGACATGTGACAGATTCAAGGGCTGCATCTGCTCCCTCGGCTGGCATGGTCTGCAGTGTGAAAGAGAAGGTAAAGCAAGGTAACACGGTGGTAAATGGCTTTTCCCAGTGTAACTAAACAGATTTTCACACTGGTACAGCATTTCCACTCCAGGCTGGTATCTTTACTCTCCCAATTACATCCCCGGGGCCCAGACACTGCCGTACATCTTTATTGCAATACAGTGTTTTTAAGAATCTGCCCATATGCTGCATTTCGCAGGCTGGTATCCTGCCATTTAATCTGATTATGTTTTCATTAGAGATTGTTTTGCAAACCTTACTCCATAGAATTTGGCACCGACCTTAATACCGATTACTGACAGAAGCTGTGCATCCTACATGCATGATCAACTTTTGAATAGGCTCATGGTATGTCATAGTTTAGCCTTATCTGGCAATTAAGTACGACACAGTCGCTCGATCACCGTTGTAGGAGGTGGAGCTGCTGTAGGAGGTGACATGATAGCGGTGGGTGGTGACATGGTCGTGGTGGGCGGTGATGTGGCCATGGTTGCAGCCGTGTGGGCTTGGGCTGCCGTCCTGCCTGCTGTGCAGGTCCACGCTGCCCCCGTTTGCATTAGGGCAGTCTGGGTGGCTGCACAGAGCCTGCATCTGCCCTCAGCACTCGTAGCACATGGGGGCCGTGTTCCCAAACTGTTCTTTAACTATAAACAAGAACTGGAGAACACCCAGAAGCAAGCTGATCCCTAATCATAGGTCACTCCAACCCCATGGAAAATTTCCAAAATACTCATACACCTTTGCTGTTGGCCCAAGAGAAGAGGGAAAAAAATTGGAATCATTCCCCCACACCCACCACAGCACTGAATATTCTCTCCTCTATTGGCTGTGTCCCCGAGGGGAAAAAGGGAGAGGTGTAACTGTGGAAAGCCTCCAGGAGACGGCTTATGATGTACCAGAGGGACGACAATATTAAGTACAGTAGAGTGTCCCTGCCAGCATCAGCAGCACACAAAACAGCCTGACCAACCCGTCAGCCCCGCTCTCACACATAAAATCAGGGTAATCAGCAATATGTAAGGCAGCAGATCCCCATTCGGTCAGCAATTTAAAAAGCCTTGAACTCAGCGCCTGGATCAGCCACCACCACATCGCTGTACTGAATACTTGTCACACGCTATTGAGATCTGTTTTTATCTCAACCCTCTTGTGCCCCGTGTGTGGCACCAAACAGAATTGCTGTGGTTTAACCTTACCTAGCAATTAAGTACCACACAGTCGCTTGATCTCCTCCTACCCTTGAGGAAAAGAGTCAGAGGAAAAGACAAGAAAAGCTTATAAAAGTTGAGTTAAAAGCTATTTAATAATATAAATGAAAATTATAGTGACACTAATATTAACAATACTACTACTACTAAGTAATTAAAATAATGGAAAATAGAACTTACAATACAGTAGCTCACCACAGCCAAGAGCTAACAAAAGGAACTAATGAGCCAGCTATCACCCAGCCCCAAAGCCTTAACGATCCTCCCAGGGCCACTTTCGCACCTTGCAAACTGTGCCTGCACCCAGCCTGACCCAAGAGCCTGATGTGTCGCGGAATGAAACAAGATCCCTCGGTTGCTGTGGGCCGGCCAGCTCTGTGTAGGAGAGCAGCTCGTTCCTGCCTGAAACTGGCACATGGTACTTTACCGTTACCTACCTCTTATTTCTGTGCAGACACTCCTATACCATGTGCCTCATGGGCTGAAATTGATGACTTGAGACACCAAGACAACATCAGGGTTTAAAACAGTTCTCTCTGAGAGAGAGATTGAAGCTTGCAAAGGTGAATATACCTCGTCCAGAGTCTCTTTGGATTCAGGCAAGGTTCACACACACCATTTTATAACATGCACTCAGCATCTCTTATTTCTGCTTGATTAATAAAGTGACAAATCCACTGTTAACTTGTTAAAGCTTTCAAGTGCAAAAACAAGGAAGGCAATAAGACCATGATCCAACCAGCCGATCTACACCGCTGTGTCCTGACTGCTCTTATGAACAGGCAAAACGGAGAGCAAAGAGACTGTACGTGCAGTGCGAAATGTGTGCGTGATTTTGCCACAGCGAGGCTGTCTGCTTAGAACGTCAGCGAGAAAGAGAGGGGAGAGGAAAAGAAAGAAGGGTGGACACAGAGGGCTTATTCCTTCTCACACGGTATTTACAGGGATGTAGCAGTGCTGACAACTGAACAGGTTGCCCAGAGAAGCTGTGGATGCCCCATCCCTGGAAGTGTCCAAGGCCAGGCTGGATGAGGCTTGGAGCAACCTGGTCTAGTGGAAGGTGTCCCTGCCCATGGCAGGGGGGTTGGAACTAGATGATCTTTAAGGTCCCTTCCAACCCAAACCATTCTATGATTCTATGACTTTGGTAAGCATGATCCTTGCGTGTGCCCACGAGTGGAGGGAGACCCAGACCCCTGCGCCGCCTGTGCTCGCTGTACGCCTAAACCTGCTTTGGTGCTGCCTTTCCACAGTTCTGTTTGAGGGCTGGCGCTAAAATGCTGTGTATCTTCTGTAGGTT